GGGCTTCCCACTCTCCCTCTGCCCCCAGGTGGCAGGGGAAAGGGAGCAAGGAGCCAGGCTGCAGCCTCCGTCCTGGGAGGGGTTCAGAGCTGCCAGTCCAAGCCGGGGCCCAGTGCTCCCATTGCGTGTGCATCTCCCGGCCCGCCCTGTGGCCGCGAGTTTCCCGGCTGCACTTCCTGCTCACCCCAGGCTGGAGCGCCAGGGGGAATCTGGCAACAGGATACGAGAGTCGGCAGGATATCCACTTATAGCCCGGCCAGCACAATGCGGGCAGGGAGGGGCGGGCAGCCAAGCTGCCCCCCAAAAGCAGGCAGACACCCCACTGCCTGTGGGTCCGGCCCCACCCCGACATGCACCACAGCTGCCACCGTGGGGCCGGGGCAGCTGCTCCCCCGCTGGAAAGCCAGGCTGGCGCGTGGGGGTGGAGAACTAGGTGAGACAGCTAAAGGGGAGCAGGCCCTGGGGGTGCGCAGGGCAGGGCACCCCCTTGATCTCTTTTCAGGGGGTCCTGGAGCCCATTAGATGGGTAAGTGCGGGGGGGAGGGGGTGCCATGGCTCCCCGCCCCTGCCCAGTCCTGGCCCAATTCCCACACACCACCCATTTCCTGTCTCCTTCCTGAGCGCCCCCGCCCCCCCAATCCCTCTGCCCTTAAAGTGACAGGGGCCTGTAAATCATTGGCCAGGGCTGAGACAGAGACATTCCTAAGGACGGGCTCTTAAAGAGACAGTGATGAATGGGCCCCACCCGGGCGCGCGCGAGGACATGCCTTAGCAGTGGGAGTAAAAGCAACAGCGAGGAGAGGCACTCTGTCTCCAGATGGGCCATGCGGCTGACAGCGCTCTTAAAGGGGCAGCCGCCCGCTTTCCACGGCTCAAGCTATGCTGGCTTCTAAGTCCCAAGGGCGTGAGCCTCCAGGGATCCCTGTGCCGTTGCCACCTGGCCCCAGCAGCCCAAGATCTACCCATGTGGCCTAGCGGGCCCACAGCCAGAGCCTGGATGCAAACTCCCTCCCCTGCCGCAGACCTCAGAGCCAAATGATCCAACCTGGCTGGTCAAACTAGCCCCAAAGGCGCCAGGGGGCACAGATCTCTGCAAACTCGGGTTCAGCCCCCAACCGGTGTGGGGCTGGGAGCACCCGCCCCCCCGCCTCCCCCCGCTGAGCAGCTCTGCAAACTCTGGTTCAGCCCCCAACCGGTGTGGGGCTGGGAGCACCCGCCCCCCCCGCCCCCTCCCGCTGAGCAGCTGTCCAGCCGTGCGCTCAGCACTGCGTGGACCACACAAGAGCATGTGGGGGCAGACAGCTGGGGGAACAGGTGCGCGAGAGCAGATACCTCTGGGCATGTGGACATGCATGTACCTGGCAACCTCACAGGGCACCGTCCCAGCTGGAGCTGATCTTCCCTCCGATCCCGTTGCAGGTTGGTTCTCCCCCATGCACGAGTCCCAACCTCCCTGTCCCCTCTGTCCTGGCTCCGGACCTCACCTTCTTTGGACATGCCAACCTCGAAGCACTTCTGGAGCCGGCAGTACTGGCAGCGGTTGCGGGTCACCTTGTTGATCTGGCAGTTCTTGTCACGGTGGCAGGTATACACCATGTTTTTCTGGATGCTTCGGCGAAAGAATCCCTGGGGGGGGCATGCAGCCACGGCAGAGGTGGGTGAAGGGGAGAAGGGGGGGTGTTACCCCATGCTCCTTGTGGCTCCCAGCCAGTGCCTTGGCAAAGCTGCACCCCCAAAGTCAAACTGAACCCCTCCCTGCACCAGCATCCCTCCCCCGGCCTGGCAGGCTGGAGCACCAGCTGTTGCAGCAGAGAGGATCAGACCAATGGGCCATGGTCTGGCTCCACCACTGGGGCCCCTGGGCTCGGTAGTCTGACCTGTGCAGCACAGGTCTCCCCAAAGCCCTGCGCCCGAGCCCCGACTCTGGGGCTAGACTGAGGCATGGCAGGGCCCAGGCTGGAGTGGGGCATGGCCAGGCAGAGAGCAGGAGAGACTCTGGTGCCACCAGGGTGCCTGAGATGATGCCAGCAGGCGAGCCGCCCCCAAGGTGGGGAACCCCCTTGGTCTGACCTGGGGGGGAATTCCTGCCCAACCCCTGTCCGGCAGCTGGGGAAGCGCCAAGACCCTGGGCAGCAGGCGACTCTAGCTGCCCCCAGGGGTGCCTGCCGGGACGTCAGAGGGAGCTGCCTGAGCCCCACCCAGCACGGCGCACTCCGAGGGGAGGGGCCCCATGAGCCCTCCCGCCCCACTCACCTTGCAGCCTTCGCAGGAGCTGACGCCGTAGTGGTAGCCGGAGGACTTGTCGTTGCAGACGAAGCAGGGCTTGTAGACGCGGGGGGGCGGGGGCGGTGAGGGGGAGCTGGGCACCATCTCCTCCGAGCTCGTGCTCTGGGTCTCCACAGCTGCAGAGAGAGGGACGGGCAAGGGCATCAGGAAACCCCAAGGGGCAGCCAGGCAGCTGATCCGGACAAGAGCCTTCGCTGAGTCCTGGAGAAGGGGGGGCTGGGGCGCTCTGGGCGGGGGTGTTTCAGGAACATGCTGCTGTGGGACCCCTGGGGCCTAGGACAGTCAATGCAATTTGCTAGGAATTTAAAACTGGCCACTGCAGAGAGAGGGACGGGCAAGGGCATCAGGAAACCCCAAGGGGCAGCCAGGCAGCTGATCCGGACAAGAGCCTTCGCTGAGTCCTGGAGAAGGGGGGGCTGGGGCGCTCTGGGCGGGGGTGTTTCAGGAACATGCTGCTGTGGGACCCCTGGGGCCTAGGACAGTCAATGCAATTTGCTAGGAATTTAAAACTGGCCAA